ATTCTCAATGCACGATAAAATTCTGAAACGCGTTCGCCAGCCGCCGCGCGGCTTTTAAACGTTAACACGCGCTCGTTCGGCACAATGGCGGGGTCGCATTATACTCGAGAATCGGAGGGAGAACAAGCAGTGTAGGAAGAAACAAGGAATCGAAGAGGGCGGCGGCGAAGGGGTAGAGTGTTATGCCACCAAGTAGAAGGAAGACGGTAGTGAGAACAGAGGACTGTTGTTCTCTCCTTCGTGCGCGTTCAATTTCTTTGTGCAAGACGAAGTAGAGTTGCATGACAAAAATCTTGTTTCCGTATGATGTTTCCTATTGATGCTCCCGTTTCATCCCATTGTACATATCTATTGTGTAATACGATAAATAAATATCTTTGTGCTGATATAAGCTCTTCAAATATTAATCTCAATTCGTTAATCTTAGCTCGCTCTTTTTTTGCTCATGCGGACGCCACTCAGAGTCTGTGAAATCTTGTTGGACATTTTGATGTATAATTTCGGTGGAAATGTCATTAATTCGTCAATAATCGTTTTCCATAACAATTTTGAACAATATAAAAGAAATAGAAATGTGCCATCCAAAAGTGAAATCCAAAGTTGAATTTTATTAATTACAAAAAATAATTGTTTAAAAAAAACATGTTCCTATAATTTATAAAATGTGTCTCCTAGACCCTCGACACTGATGAGTTAAGATTAAATAATTTTCTATAATTAACTTTGTTGTCAAGTACCACATTCTTATAATAGTATCTACTGTATAATAAAATGTACATTTTTTACGAAGTTTAAATAGTATATATTTTATCTACATCAGCTATTAATATAAAAATTAAAAAAACGAAGAACATAAAAAACCACAGCACAGGTTGTCGGTTGTGAAGATTAAAACTTTATTCAATAATGAATTATTTAAGCGTTTATCAATACCCATATCAAAAAATAAGCGATTAACAAGAATTTCCAGATTCTGTTTTACAGTCAAAAAACGAAGCGGTGGATCTCAGACATTACTTTTGCACAATTAAAATTTAGTCGTGACATTGTGTGTTGTTACTGGTTGTTCTACTGTGTCCTGGCATATAAGCTGGTGTTCTAATATTGCCGCACGATCGTCACACTAATAAGAACACTTTTAATCTATTTTAACATATGACCATTGTACTTATTTCGACTAAATGTAAAAATTTGCGTTTTAAGAGGATGTTTAATTACTGAAGATGGCCAGATTGTGGCCGAAACGTTTAATCGCTTATTTTTTGATATGGGTATTGATAAACGCTTAAATAATTCATTATTGAATAAAGTTTTAATCTTCACAACCGACAACCTGTGCTGTGGTTTTTTATGTTCTTCGTTTTTTTTAATTTTTAAAATTATAACCACTTTTATTTAAGACATTATTAATATAAATGCTGTAATTATTATTAATTACAATAAATCAAATTATAATTTGATATCATTCTATCTATAATACTATCTACTATATAATAATGAGAGGTTCGCCAACTTTTTATTTGGGTCCAATATAATAAATTTAAGTGACCATTCTCTTTGTAATCGGACCGTAGTTTTTCTCGCTATAACTTCACGACTTTTATAAAATCATAAAATATTCCGATTTGCATCCTTGTAAGAAGGATATGCCATAATTTCGCGACGAAGAAACTGCGACGGTAATTCCACATCGTTAAAGGACTTATAGGTCATTTAAAGAGCTTTCGGAAGCCAAAAGGATGGACCACGAGCACAGAATGAAAGATATCTTGAGATGCTTTTTTTATTAAAATGGGCACATCTGGCGATGAAAGGTCGGTCAGCTGAGCACGCATTTTTTCCTCGCCTCATTCAACTCTGCGAGGCCGACCGATCGACGAAAACGGTTACGTCCCTTTGTACGTTGGCTGCGGCACTAAAATGGAGCTTTGCGGGGTGACTATGGTCGCCCAACCACGATAGATAAATTTCCTTATGAAAATTCGGTCGAGAGAGGAACGTCTCACCACTCACAATTTATTGGGTCTTCCGCGGATCGCTGACTATGCTAGCACATTCATTCTATGTTCCGGTCATCCCTCGTCGTTCTCGACGCTATAAAGGGAGCTTGAAGATAATAGCCTTGAAGTGTTCTACCTTCGAGACGATTAAAAAGTTCAAGACTTTATCTTATTAAAGATATTTTGGAATTTGTTTATTGAGGCATACATGATATCAAAAATAATATTATTTTCTTCATAATAATTATCATTTTTTTACTTTTTCTTAAGGATGTTTGGCTGTACAATATTAATTAAAAATATCAATTAAACAATTAGCCAAAATAAGCTAATATCAATCAATATCATTAAAAAAATGTTGATATTAACTCATAGATATGCCTTGAAACAACTGAGAAAAACAAAAAATGTATGACTGCATTTTCCTACAGTTTTATTAGATATAACTTTTAAGCGAATAAGTGAATCCAAATAAACTTTTGCGCAAATATTTATTATTATTTGGTCAGTATATATTTAAAATTTTATTTAAATCTTAATGTTACTTCCTCATTAAATTTATAAATAAGTATTACGAAACTCAATTTTATATAAGAATGAAGACTGACAAAAAAATTAAATAACGTTTAAACCAATAAGAGAATAGTGTTCAAATTTTACATACATATTCAGATGTAACATTGGACGGATTTTATATAGATTTTTAGACGTAATAATGAACAATCTATGAAATTTTTATATTTTTCGTAAAATTTTAAGATATATGCATCCCTAAAGGGAGATTATTTAATATCTACACAACGCGGTTGAAAAGACGAACGCTATCGAGGAATGTCAACGGTAGTCGTCGCCGCGCTACGCTCACTGGAAGAGAATCGTCAAAGTAATGAGAGGAGGGGAGGCAAGGTAGGGTAGTTAAATGTTACCGGTGTCAGGACATGGCCTTTGTGTTAGGGGAGTGCTTGGGCTCCGTGGAGTTAGCTAGACTGGCAGAGTACTATAAATTACATAAATGAAGTAAGCCCCTTCCGCGCTCAAACGGACGTCTTGCCAAGTTTATAACTTAATCACTCGTGCTATACCCGTAGCAAGAGGAGGAGCTTAGGTGGATGAGAGGGATACGAGACGGAACGAAACGGTTGAGATGAGAGTGGGTATGCCGTAGACGGATAGCGTAGAAGATGTAAGAGAGAAAGAATCCAGCAGAGAACAAGCCGAACGATTAATGATGTCAGGGTTGAATAATTGAATGTGTCACGCACATATTGTCTCAACGTTGGCAAGTTTTCTTCCCGAAATAACGACTCCAGCCTGATCGTTTTATTTCGCAATTAAGCGTACGATATCTATCGTAAACATTATTTCCTCGATCGATCGCACATTCTAATTAAATTCTTACCTTAAATAAATTTGAATATTCTAATTTTCTGGATAATCTTTGTCATTTTGTGCTGTAAAGAATGTATAAAATATGTTTGTTAATATAATATCGTTAAAAATTATTGCACTTAAAACGAGATAAATATATATTCAGACGATAAGTCTACATATTGAAAAAAGAGAAAGCGAAGATCTTGAATGCAAAAAGTACGAACAATGCGAACAAACTTATTGTTCCTTCAGCTCTCCCGTTTTCGTCTGATAAGCTTACTATTTCCTACAGCGAATTCGATCAATTGCATTGAAATATATTAAATATTTACAGTATGTATTAAAAGCTGCTACAAAATTAGCGAAGTTAAATGTAAACGCATATTTTAAACAAATATTTACTAATGTCACATTTAACAGAATATGTGTTATATTATTTCATTGTTAAAACTGATTATATTGTGCCACTGCATTTAAATACTTTATTATAAAGCAGCCTTTAACATGTACTAATTCAGCCAGATACGAATGATGGAATTCACCATTGTTCCTTATAATATTGGACTCGCTATTTTTTGAACACATAAGAGAGAGTCATGATATATCATTAAACAAGCTAAATCTCTTATTCATCGATGTCAATTCCGACAATATTAGAAGAGATAAGTTACATAAAAATGAATAATCTTTGTAGTCTTTGACCGTACTACACGCTAACTTCCTCACAGAGCCGGACTAGAATCGCGAATGGCCAGTTTACATTCCTACCGGTTGACCACCGGATGCATTTAATTACGGTCACCTAACGCAGCTTCGGCAACTGCTTCGGTACGGAAGCACTAAATCGTGGTTATCTTAAGCTGCAACATCGCGCGCGCTGGATATTCGTATAACTTGCGCTTGCCGGATATCTCGAGGCTGAATTACTAGCTAGGAGAGAAGCGCCGGCGCGGGCGCGTGGAAAGGGCGAGATTAAAATCGCCCGGAGAGCAATGCAAAGTTTTTAATAACCCTTGATGCTTGATTAAGTTACGGCTCTCTTCACTGGCTCGCTGTCTCTCCTTCCCCGCTGTTCGTCTTTGGCTGAAATAAATTTCGCGGAGATTTCGCTTACAGACCGCGTTTTCGTGCGGTACGAGGGAAGAAGCGAGACTCGTTTACTCCGTCAGCTAAATTAATGGAAATCCGGGATGGTTTCTTATCCTCGCGAATATGCAGCAAAATCGGGAGAGCTTTTCGCATCTCTACTACTACCGGTTACTCTAATTCAAAATTACGTAGACTCTTTTTTTTATTGTTATTAATGCGGATTGAATTTGATCAAACATCAAATATCATTATACTTACAATAAGCAACATGATCCCCAACTTTATCGTTTTGTCATCTAATGCGATAGCATACGATCTATTTTTTATATGAATAACAAATATAATTAAAATCGTTGCAATTTGTTTTATTAAAACTGCAATATTGGAAAATGTGAGAAATTATAAAATTAAATTCGGAAATAAAATAATATCAAATCTGTATCATATGTATATTGCTACAGTTGTTTGCCATTTCAATTTATCGTATTAAATATAAAAATGTGATAAAAATTTAACAAGAATCTATGTATTTTCTTTCAGGCTTTGGATTTGTCACGTTTCAAAGCGAGGATGTCGTCGACAAAGTCTGCGAGATCCATTTCCACGAAATTAACAACAAAATGGTGAGTAGCCAGTCTGAAGTCTACTTGTGATTACTGAACAAACCCCCTCTTCTAAAGGATATTCTCCCTTTACTTTATATAACCTCAGAGGTCGCGTCAAAAGGTATTTGCCTTCTGTTCCCTGTCTGTAATGTTGAGCAAAATTAATTTTCCGTATAATCGAAAAGGTCTATCTTTATTAGTTATATTTGCCACGCATGCGGAATGTACATGCAGGAGAAATCGTAAACGAAAAAGGGAAGAACTATACACAGTGTTCCTTTAGTAAGAAAAGTCTTTGTTTACTTTCCGCTACAACGAAAAGCTCTTTCACGACGGTCAAGTATTTTCTTGATGCCACCTCGTATCGATAATCCTGAAGTAAGCTCGCTGCGCTGATCCAGTCGATATTCTCTTTAACTCCATTCTCTACAGTTAGTTATTTCTTTACGAAATTTTGAACAAAATCAATTTTACTATTAGTACTTTTATCTACTTAATAATTAACAGAAATAGTATAAGCAACAAATATGATAATAATAGTGTTTTTAATTTCTCTTTTAACATCTTGTCGAGAAAGGATTCATACGTTATCTCCCATACAGCATAGAAGCTTGTATTGTTGCCGCATTGTAATGTTGCTGCAATATTGCCGGAGTGATTTGTGCTGTATGGGCTGCTACAACGATGCACAATCAAGATTTCGACAGTTCTAATAGATGATTGATAGCGAAATGTCCGGAAATGTGATCGGTTGTCTTTCTCACTCGTCCCTCTTTCTTTTATCTGCTCTATCTAAAATTTCAAGGTCGAATGCAAGAAGGCACAGCCAAAGGAAGTGATGCTTCCAGCGAATCTGGCGAAGACGCGAGCGGCCAGCAGAGGCGCATACGGTGAGTTGGTGATGGTCGCGACACCCACCCCCACCACCTATCGCTACGCGCCGTATCCCTTGCC